ACTGACCACCATTCACAGTGGAGCCGTTAACACCTTCATCGACTCCCTCTCAGTGAATGGCGTACTATGAGTCAAACCACAAACCACCTATAGCAGACGTAGAGCTCGAGTTGCCTCACAAAACCAGAGTGACCCTCGCGCAACTTCGTTCTGGATACTGTAGCAGGTTAAACTCCTACTTAACCAGAATAGACCCCGACATACCAAACACATGTCCTGCGCGCAATGATTCTCCGCATGACACTAACCACCTCTTTGCATGCCCAACAAACCCCACTCATCTAACACCCTTCTCCCTATGGTCCGACCGCGTCGAAACAGCTCGTTTCCTGGGCCTCCCGTTAGATGACCTCGACGACAACGAATCTGGAATTAATCACCCAAACGGGGACCGTTACAACAATAACAACATATGTCAGTACTGTTAATTTACATTTGAATTTTTACATTCAGAACTATCCACTGATTGGAGAAAGACGTAAGCAGAGCTATTGAGAGGAGGAGATGAGATCAGATGACCGTCACTTTTCTTGTAGGGTACATAACAAATGTAAACAAATAGATGTGTGAACTGTCAATGAAAACTCATCGAAAACACACAATGTCGGTCAGAACGACTTTGGTTCCACAATCCACAAATTGTGTTTTCAAGAGGATTTCAATTCGGTGCGAACATAGTATTAGGACTGGTTACTTGTAAATTTATACAATGGTCGATTTTGCTGGCTCTAATGTTAATCGATACTTATCGAAAAATGCAATCTCAAAAAGCCGGCAAGCATTTAAATAAAGGAAAGGTTTAGGAAAATTATCTAAATTAGATTATTCGATACACAACTATAGAACAGTAAAAGCAATATACAAAAGAACCTTTCATATAGACAGAAGTAACGTTTTCATTAAAATTTTATTTAGATATTTATATTGTGGATGTTCTAACACATTAATTTCAAATCTAAATAAGAAGTAAATAATGGTAGGCCATAAGATTTCTGACTATAAACCAAAAAGTCTACACAGCATATTGGCTGGGATTTAGAATAGCAACCCCCGAATGAGTTTAAGCTTGCTAAGTTAATAGGTAAAGATAGAGGAGGTTCTCCAACTTAGGGATATTTATACACATAGCTGTCGGTGACTTATGGTTTGTGAATCATTTGTATTTAAATTACCAATTTATAGTATGCAATTTTTCGATTTACGATGAATTTTACGGTTATGTTGTTTTATATTGTATATATCCACCAAACAAAAATGTGCGTGTGTGACACATTCTGAAATAGCATTTATTAGTTTTACAATTTTTGGACGAACCTAGATGATAGAACAAAATCGAATGAACGATAAACTGCCAGAAGCAACTAGACAGCGAATTCGTAGTTGCCAGAATGTTCTAGTAGTAAAGTAGTTAACGAATTCGTAGTTGCCAGAATGTTCTAGAAGCAATGTTTTGTTACAGATTTACTATATAAGAGCTGCCGGATTGTGCAGCAAACACAGTTCTTGTTAGAGTGTTGTCGTGATAAGAACAATTGAGACATAAGCAAGAAGTTGTAAGCTCGTATAACGAGCAATAAGTGTTAAGTTGTTGGAATTAGAAATATAAATAAGTGTGTAGCCATTACATTGGGGAGTTTTATTTAACAATCCAGTGATCGAACTCAAGAGTGGTTTATCCAACACTGAGGTTTTTTCGCGCAGAACTTCTTTTTGCGTTGGTGGCCTTCGGCCGCGCTTCAAAAAAAATAACCCTGGTCGGTCCAACACCGGGGTGTACCAAGGTTTTTACGCGCGGAAATTCTTTTTGCGTTGTTTTCTGTATCTAGGGTATAATCTCTATTTATTTTATTTTTCTTCGTTTACAAAATATATGTGTCTGGCAACACTAATGTTTTGACATTCACAACCATTATGTTATTGTCAAAATTAATAAAATTCAAGAATGATTTAAATATTGAAATAAAGCTATTTTTGCAGCATCTAATATAAAAAAAATTCTAAAAACGAATTAGTCAAGTGTTAGTGGATATAAAAGTGAAAAATACAAGTGTATAATTCAATTTAAACCGCAAAAATACGTACTTTAAATAGTTGAAATTTTCAACTTTAAACGTAAATATCCCGGAAACTATAAGTTTCCCGCGGCTATATCTATATATATTCTTGATCTGGAGGATCTTCTCTATCCGCCCATACCCATTTTAACCCCGAAAGCCTGGGACGTTTTCTGAAATAGCATTTATTGTTTTACAATTTTTGGGCTTCAAACACAAATCTTTAAAAAAAAAATCAGGGTGGGATATGTGTATATATTCTTGATCTTATTCGTCCATACCATCAAATCTCTGCTCCGGAGAAACCGAAATTTTGCCCTATAGTCAGCGGCAGCTATATATATGCATACACATATATTCTCAATCTGGAAAACCTGTATCCGTAGGAAATAGGAGAGGTAAATTTTATTTATGCAATATTTAATATAAAATAAATGTGTAAAAACGATTTAGTGAAATGTTAGTGGATTAAAAGTTAAAATTTAAGTAGAAAATCCAATATAAAACGAAGAAACGGGGTCTTTAAACCTTTAAATGCAAATAGCTCAAAAACGTAAGTCAACGGCAACTATGTTTTATATATATATTCTAAGTCTGGAACTTCTTCTGGATAAACTTGTAGTTAAGCATCCCACGATTCAGGAGGTTAAGAGGAGTATGGTTGATAGAGCAGATTCTCCAAATGCATAAATTATTATCGCCAATCCAATACCATAATTTATCAATAGAGAATGCGAACAAAATTATAGTTCATGTGTTGGGGTGCAATCCTCTTTTATTGTCATGTGTTCGTTTCAAAATATAAATATATATAATAGATATGGCAACACTTGATAGATGTCCTTATGGAACCCATTTGTTATTGTTTATATAATTGTGTAAAAATAAAATGCTAAAACAAATATTTAAATATTTAACAAATAAATATGTGAAACATTGTAGTGAAGTGTTGAGTGTATATAAGGGCATAATATAAAAGTTAATATAAATCAGTGTAAAATAAAATTGTAGAATTTTAACTTAAATGCAATATGAAAACTAAGTTCCTCTATCCAGCCATACCCCTATGAACCTGAAATGTTGGGATGCTAAACTGAAGTTTCCCCTTCTAACCATTACATACCATTTAACTGAATTCAGGAATGTTTCTAAATCCCAGCCAATAGGAGGACTCAAAATGCTCTAACATAGTATGCGGATCCAACTTTTAAACGCGATTCTCATTACAAAAACCATCTATTGGAAAATAATGGATTTCTGGTGAACTGACTATACAATTGAAAGTACGAAAATATGTAAAAATAAATTGATGGAAGAAAAAGTTTTAGGACAGGACAGATTAGTTTTGGATGGATCTACTAAATCAAATACAGAAGAGCAGTAATTTTCAATATTTTCAAAAACAACCAGAAAAACTTTTTAAATTTTAATACATACATTAAAAATAAAAATTATGATACATAAAATGAAATTTGTGAATATTTCAACTTAAAATGCAAATATCTCGAAAACTATAAGTTTCCGGCGGTGTTGGACCGACCAGGGTAATTTTTTCACAAGAAAATGTTTAACGCACTGAACTGGTAATTACAGCTAATTCATCTGAATTCTGAAGAACTTTGCCGCTACAACAAGAACAACAACTAAGTGACTTGAAAAATATGTGTAAAGTGCGTTAAATATATTTATAAATATACACATAGCCAATAAAGTCTGCGTTCACCCGACACTATTTTTTAAGTGAAGTAAAAACAATGTAAATAGGTATTTCAGTTCAAATTTTGTACATGTATTTCTTTATATTCTTAAGTTCAAAATGCAAAAACAAAAATTTTATATTCCTTTTTTCATTTTTAAGATAACGGGATTTTAGTGTAATAACAAGTAAATATAGGCACCAGAAAGTCTGCGTCCAGTTAGCTTGAATTGGAAATACCGTTACTTCTCATGAATTTGTTCCTTCATTTTGCGTAGATTCTATTGTGTTTTGTGGCTTTTGCCACAAATTCAAAGTCAAGAGGCAAGTTCAGGCATCCATCTCGAGGTGCCCGCATGTGACACAGAAATATTTTATGGAGGTTATGAAGAATGGCCGTCCTTCCGGGACGTGTTCACTGCCGTATATATCAACCATCCAAAATTATCAAAAGCACAAAAATTGTATCACCTCCGATACAAAACAAAAGGTCAAGCAGGCGTCATAGTTAAACAGTTCGCACTAAATGACGACAATTTCAATTTGGCTTGGGAAGCTCTAAAAGCAAGATATGAAAATGAAAGAATATTGGTTGATAAACAAGTAACGACACTTATAAACTTGCCTAAAATTCAAAAAGAAACAAGTGAAGAATTTATTAGACTACAATCCACTGTTTCTAATTGTTTGTCGGTTTTATCGACACAAAANATAATTTTGATAACGTTCTTCGAGAAAGAAGTACGTGTGGGCCTCAGTAAGTCAGGAATGCTGAAAGGAATCAAGATTGATAAAATACAAGAATTTACTTTTTTCGGGGAAATTTTTTAAGTGAAATGATTAGAATAAATGAAATTAAGTGAATGGTTAAAAGGGATTCTGAATGCGAAAGTTGTATTTGTTTGAATTTATAAGTACAAAATATATTGATTTTGAAAAATGAAGTGTATACAAAAACGAGTCATGTTAGTTAGACTATTAATAACACTAGAACGGTTTAACCGATTTGGCTGAAAATTGTTGAGGAGATAGCTTAGAACTTAAAAAAAAATAATAATAATTGCAACTGCAAGAGTACAGTAATTTTTGTACATATACATAAATATATGGGTTATAGTGGATGTTGCTACTGAAAAAGGCTGTTTTTTTTTAGGACGCGCCATGTGGAACCGATAAGAAATCGCATGGATCGACAAGGCGTTGCGGCTACTTTGCTAAATTATCGACGAATGACGCAGAGGCACTCAAAAATAACCAAACGCAACTTCTAATATAAAAAATAGCGGAATAGAGCAGTGTTGATAAAAAGTTCAATTATAATTTGAGATGAGAGCATAATAGCTCACAAATATTCCCCAAGCATTGCACAGAACAATGCACGATTTAAACGGCAACGATGAAGTTTTCAGTGGTGCTGTCTTATCATGGATGGTGAAACACTTCAATGGACCATAAATGTGTGCAAACAATTACAAACTGATCCACCCTAAGAAACAATACAATTTAACAAGTACGCAGTGTATAACGAAAAAAAAGCTTAATTAATTGAGAGTACGTTCCGAAAAATAAAAATTAATTATTTTGGATCAACTAACTACACTAGCGGCCAAAAATGTAGAAGTTGATTATAATAGTTTCCAGTTGCAATAGTTGTTGCAAGTTACCAGATGCATTTTAAATAACTACTGTTGATGATGAATTTGGAACAATATATTATCTAGAATCTCGGAATTTCATCACATAATCTTAGGTTAAAAATTGGTTCACCTAGTATTATTCAGCGTAATTTGAATCCATCTTAATTATGTAACGGTACACGTTTGGTAATCAAAAATATTACAGGAAATATTACTGTAGCAATATTTGACTTGAAAATTTAATGGAAATGGTCTTCTTGCCACGTTTCCAATGATACTGCCAGTGTGCAATGCAATACAAAGAGTAAGTAATTTGAATTTGAAATATTTTATAGAAAACTATGAATATTATTGTTAAATTAAGAATGATACACTTCTTCCATTATAAATGTTATCAACTAACAAGTTTGAAAATTATAGTAGTTACCATGAATATAAAGTTTTATAAAAATCAATATAATATTTCTGAGCTTAAGCAACAAATCAGTGAAAATGTTATC